AGATTAAGTTCTGTCTGAGTTCGGCTTTTCTTATATTTTAAATTACGCTTTCATGGAAATCTAAAAACGTGGAAATGTAATAGTGTTCAAAGACTGTTATATTACAGACCTTTAGGAAAACCACTGCGAAGATGGTATCCAACATGAAAAGATCGCTGAAATGAATATATAGAAGTTAAGGGACACAAACCAAATTTTTTTTTACAATTAATAAACTTTTTTTTGTTTCATTCCGCAAAATTTATCGAGCGTCGTAATAAATGTAGCGCCTAACATAAATGTAAAATAGTTTCAAAAAAAATAAGTTTCATAGTAATTCAGAACTAATAGAATTTTATCTGAAATGTAACAGTTACATCTACGAAAAGTAATGTCGAAATTGAAAAAGACAATTTAATATAATTCTTAATCGAATTCAAATGCAAAATTTTACCTCATCTTGAGCAAAAAAAATTTTAATATTTCATATTTGAATTAAAACAAAAAAAAAATTGATATACGATTATGTGGTCCAACGCCATTAAACTCTATAAGAGATGGAGTTATGAATCAATTTTATTTGACAGTTTAATAAAAAAAAATTTTTTTTTTCAACATCAGTTCGTTCGTATATCAAATTTAATTTTTGCTCTACTGGGTTCGGTTAGATAAACGAATTTAATTTATGGTTTCTTATAGCAGTTATATACTATTTTGGAACTGATAATACGAGTGAAACAAAATTAAATAATAGGTAATGTTAATGAAGTATCATATTATTGTTCATATATCTTATACTATTTAGTTAGTCCCATTAGTTATGAAATTTTTGTCTTAAGAAACCAGGTACTGTGATCGAAAGAATAGTGTGAGATTAGGTAAACCTTGCACTACACTAAAATTAAAATTGTATTTAAATATGTTGCCTCCAAATGACTGACATAGATTTTAATCCGGACAGTACATTGTTTCTAGTGTATTATTTCAATTCGTGTATTAAAAGCCATGTATATAAGTAACTCTTTTGGGTATTACTATAAATTTGACTGCATATCTTTCTTTCGGTTCATCCGATAATAGACCACTATATATACAACCTAGTTTCGCAGTACTCAATGCTGATGAAGTTAACAGTTAAAGGAAATTAACTTAATTTAGAAATAAATTAAGAGTGACTTGGAGCATTCATACATAAGTATAAAACTCAGATGATATTACAAATACAAATTCATCTATATTTTTGTATATATTTAAGTTAATATTATTATAAATTCAGTATTAATTGAAAAAAATAAGACTGCCATTCAATCTTTTGCAAGTCTTCAATTTGTATAAACAAAAAATCAAATTAGTACTAGGGACATACTAAATGAATCAACTCTTTAAGTAAATAGTGTTACGGTTTTAAAATACAAAAATATCATAACAGTACTATTTTTAAGATATTAAAATTTTTTATTTCTGGGATATTGGCAGCTCCGCCGAACCTTATACCATCAATTCCTATATATTAAAACTGAAGCCACATACTTCATATACAATAACTGGTAGAAAATTTTTAAAAATATAAGCAAATCTTATTAAACAGGATGAGAATTATAATATTTTATATTTTTTTATATTTTATATATGTATATATATGTGTATATATATTTATTTTATATTTATTTTATATTTATAATTAATATAATATTTAGAGAGAGATCCAAACATTATTCCAAAATATTCCATAATACACAGAAAGTCTAAATGTTTTAATAACATATAATGAATAAATTTCGAACATACCATATTTGACTCTTTTAGTAACAGCAGCACTATTTTCAACCGAACATGCTTTTGGATTATATCTATACTTTTGCACATCTGGCTTAAATCCATCATACCCACCTGGTTTTAAATTATCCTATTACCTAAACATAATCTAACTTTATAACTACATACATATTATTTTTTATATTTAATTATTCGTAAACATTTTTTATGACACTGCAAGTACCAAGTGCTGACTCTGAACTTTAAATTTGGTAGAGCACGAATTCAACCCTCGGTATTTGCGCAGTTAAAAAATTATTTACAAATAATTAAATATAAGAAATAGTTCCAAGACCAGTGATGATGGGTATTTGGTAATATTGTGGTTGTAATTCACTACTTTTCGACACCCGTCTAATTTAAGATTATTATTAAAAGTATGACTACATTAAAGACAACATTAAAAACTGAAAGTATATAGCATAACTTACTTAGCTTATTGTTAAGATGTTACTAACTCAAATAAAATGAGTATTTCAATTAAAATATCAACTGTTAAAAAAATAACGATGTTAGCTTAGTTTAAATCTGACTAATGACCAGAATCTGCTTCCGAAAAGCATGGGGGCAAAGTTTATTCTGAATACCTCAAAAACTGAGAGAGTACTTTAAACCGAAACGAACTGATGGACAAACCGATATGGCTAAATGAACTCAACTCATGGAAGTGATAAAGAATATGTATACATTATGGATTCTAAAACTTTTCCTTCAATGCGGAACTTCCTACAAGGAACTTGAACAACCTAATATAACCTTTTCACACTTTTTTAGTGTAAAATAATGAATATGTGATATAATAGTCATTCTATTAATTATGACTGTCTAAATAATAAAAGATATATGCCTGAAGGCAACAACTGTGGTAGCAAATATCTTTCACTTTTTTTGAAATTAAATGTCAATCTCATAAAGCTACATTCAAGTTATCAGTTCGTAATATTATGAGGTATTATAATGAACAGTAAATATGAATGTTTAAATTATCATATATAATTTATACTTATCATATATCTCTATTTCTGTATTTATATTCTAAATTTTTTTTTTATAAAGAACTGAAAAGTAAGAATATTGTAAACATTTTTGGGTTACACTTAAACACTAAAAACTTTCCAGGAATTAAAAGTGAATTAAAACATTAAACAAACTACAACTTCTTTAAATAATAATTTGTAATGTAAGTTGTTATGCAGAGACTTAACTTGTCGAATACAATACACTGAGTCCCTCGGTCCTTGCTGAAAAACTCAACAAATCACTTCCATAGTCAAGTCACGTCTCGTGATGTCCGATTTCCTCGCATTTAAGATGTTGCAGCAAAAAATCACGTATCCTTAACGCTGCTGAAAGGGTAAATAGAGTTGAATGGATGAAAGATATTCGCCTGATTTCAAAAATTGCATTATCCTGCGAGAAATGGAGTTATGCAGCGTTTATGCCGTTTGTTTAACACTTTGTGGGTTGTTTGGATTTTTATGATTTGTTTATGACTTGCGGCATGCGATAATTGAGCTCGTGACTTTTTAAGACATGATTTTAACCAAAAATGTGAATGTATTTTAAATTTTGAAGTATATAATTTAAGAGAATAATGATATTAAAGGATTTTATTAAATTTTCAACAAAAGTGCTATCGTAAACTAACTTTAATTAGGATTTAGCTATTTACCAAACTGTTACTATATTATTATAGTTAATATATTACAAAGGCGATACAGCACATTGACTCTAAGATATATGGTATCTCTTTAATGGATTTGAAATGACTTCAATAGTTATACTTCCTCAATAAATAGTACTATTTGTCATAATTTACAGAATTTTAAATGCAATAAGGTTTATTATGTATTCACATTAATGTTATTTCTGGTTGAGCATGAATACAAGATACCCATCTAGTACCTGCTTCGCGATTTTTACTTTTTCATTGCAAAGCCAGAAAATTTTTTATATACTACCTTCTGTTCAAAAAGTATCCGGATTTTGTTCATTAACTACTCCTTAAGTAATAGGCCTTTTTCAAACATATTTTTTTTGTTATGTTGGTACACTCTTTCTTGACATATGACACAAATTTATTAGTTTGTTTACAGCAGCTATTAATGTGACTCTACCTCAAATGCATTTAGCGATTTTTATTATGGAAAATTTTTGTTGTACGCGATTTTTTGACCAAACACGGCACCACTGGCATCGCTCAGGCACCATATTCGCCAGATCTGGATACGTGCTACTTTTTCCTGTTCCCAAAACTCAAATTGCCCCTTCATGGTAAGCGTTTTGAGTCTATTGAATCGGTAAAAGAGAATTCGCCGAAGGTACTAAAAGCCATACCTGCACGGGCCTACGAAAAGTGTATGGAAAAATTGGGTTAAGCGTTAACATATGTGTATCGCTTCAGAAGGAGCATATTTTGAAGAAGATAAAATAAATTTGGAATAAAATTTAAATTTGTGTGATTTATTTACAAAATTCAAGTACTTTTTGAGCAGAAGGTATTCATAAGTTTGTCCTATTTCCTCAATACATGGTTGTGTTAATCCTACTTCACCCAGCTTGAAATCTACCAACGTGTGTTATGCGTTCACTTTAATGTTTCTTCCGTTTGAGCATCAAAACAGGAAACCTTTCTAGCACCTGCTTCGCAGATTGTCGATTTCCATAATCGATATGAAATGAACAAGAAATGACACGTTAACAGATTAGAGTCTGGCCGCTTGCAAATTTATCTACCATTACCCTTATCCTGTAATGCGAAAATCACAGAACACATACCTGATTGGTTTGGTCAAGTACGTCAATTTTTTCTAGACATCCTAGTCATTTCCATTCAAGATGGAAATTCTATAATTTTGTAATTTGTGTTTAAGATTGATTTAGACAAATGAATAAAATTATATATAAATCAAGAAAATTGCTCCTAAAAGGATGGCAGAGTTTACGCCTAAGGGTCTACTGGTTGTCTTGTTGTCGTCTAGGAACTGTTACCACTGCTCATTTGTAAGTCCTTTGTCCTTTGTCAGTCATAAAAAATATTCAAATTAAAAAAATTTAATTATGACTTGTTATTATTAAATAATTTTATTTTTTAATTTATTCAAATTATAGATATTAAAATAAACTCAACAACATTATGTGTACATGAATTAAAACAACAAAAAATGAAATATGCAGAGGTTTTTAAAACAAATGCTTAGTATAACTTAGAAGCCCCAGTGAGTGCCGAATCCATCGAAGCTCATATGTGATACCATTTCAGCTGGAGAATAGTGTACAGTCTGACTGGAACCATAAGCAGCAACACCTGGAGCATTATGGCTGTAAGTGGTGGCAGCTGGTCCATGGTTATAGGTGGTTGTTGCGGTAGCTGGAATATCGTGGTGTTGATAGACATGAGCAGCTGGAGCAGGAGCATAAGCAACAGTCTTAGTTACAGCTGGAGCAGCATGTGTATAGACAGCAGCGGTTGGTGCAACCTCATGATGTGTGTAAACAGCTGGTGCAGCTTCTTGATGTGAGTAAACAGCATGTACAGGTTCTTGATGAGCGTAAACGGTTGGTGCAGCTTCATGATGATGAGTGTAAACAGTTGGAGCTGGTGCAGCATAAACAGTTTTGCTAACTACAGGTGTGGCATGCGTGTAGACGGCAGCACTTGGTGCTGGAGCAGCATATGAAACAGTCTTAGCTATAGCTGGTGTATACACATTGTTGCTAATGCGGGTATCTTCTTTGCGTACACTGGAGTAAGGTGTATCTATAGCTTTCGAGTATTGAGAAATAGTGCCACCGAAAGAGCGTACGACATTTTGATGTGTCGAAGCTACTGCGTCAACAGCGGGATTAGCAATTTTTGCTACCACTGGAGCAGTGTGATAAGCAACTGGACTGAGAACACCAGCGCTGGCTACAGCCAATAAAGCAGATATTAAAACAAATTTGAATGCCATTATTTTTTTGCTTGTTAGATAAAATTATTTTAATCCAAAAATTTGTTGATTTATTTGTTCAGTAGTAGCTGCGACTATCGACAAATTGAAACTGATGCCTTATCGATTCGACTACCCGAGTTTTATACTTATTTTCGTGATCAATCTTGTTTTTTGTAATTTGCAATTTTTGTGGTTATTTTTCTGAAACAAAATATGCATATAAAAATTTTTTAACTCAATGTTGCCGGCTAAAAATTTTATTATTTTTTTTTTATTACTTTTAATTGTTGTAATTGTAAATGAACTTGCTACTACTGCTCCATTTATCTTCAAACTATACGCACTCACACTTGCCTTAGCTTGCTTAGATACTTTTTTCTATAGATTTAACGTGACTTTCAATTTCTGCTTGACTTTTTAAAAAACATTAATTTTATAAAAAAAATGTGTATATTTATAAAAAAAAAATAAATCTTATTGTTTATTATATTTTTTTTTAATATAGATACATTTCTGCCAAAGAAGCGTGGCATTGCGAGGGTACAAAATTAAATAACCGGCAATCGGCTTAAGTTTACCTTAAATAAATTGATTTTTAATAGATTGAATTGTATCTTTTTATATTTTCATTTTATCAGTTTTTTTCTTCAGCATTTTTTCTATCAAATTGTGGTAGTCATTCGCATTGAGTACGCAGCGGGCCACCACGCCGGCTTTTCAAAGTGCTCGAGATAACTGTAAAAGCCTGTCAAAAATTATTAATATTAGTACATTAGTTGCCAATTTGTCGCAGTTCATTGCCAACAATTAGTAACGCAAATAGCAGGTTGTGGGTGCGACACATAGATACACAGATACACTTATACACTTCAAGTTTTTTTGTTTTGTAATGACAATAAATTATATGAGTTTTTATCTAGCAAATGCGGTTTTTCTAGTAATTTTTTCGTATTTTGTTATATATTTTACAGAATTATATAATATTATTTTTAGATACTCTCATACATTAAAAATATTTAACCGGCAAAGTATGATTGGAACAAACATCTTAATTTTAATATTTCTGAACACAACTTATGCTATGGATAAAAACTATGGCCAGTACTTTTATAGTAGTAGATACTTTCTTTTCAGATAATGCAAATCTAACTAACTCTATCACGTTAGCTGAGGGACACCACATGCAGAAGTGATTTATACCTTTCTTGGGTACTTATTATAGGTATTACTTCAAACTTGCTAAAAAGAACGGTGTGAAAACGTCTTAACACATACGGATGACGTAGTTATTTCTACTTCAAAAATATTTTCCGGTATGATAAATTATATTATGCAGAGATCTATAACTAAGAGAAACATTTAAATCACATGTTGTAGATTTAGACTCAGCGATTAGCAAACCACATAAAGAATGGACGTATGCTAACTATTTTCAAGCGAGAATTACAGCTCTTCAATCGTTCACCATTCAAAGAAAGCTTGACGAAGAATTTGAAACGGAAATTATCGTGCTAAATCAATTTGTACATATTACTATCTTACATTTTCTCTATCACTAAAATATAGAAGTTAATTAAAAAGGAGACAGTTAGCGGCTGCGTTCGTTTTTTCAGAAATGCAGAAGCATATACCTACACAATCTTCGCATGAGTCCTGGGAGGCGGCTAAAACCGATTCATACATTTTTTAATCAATTATATAATTTAATGTAGTTGTGATATGTATTCAAATTACTAAAAAAAAAAATAACTATATAATTGATAGATAGAAGTCAATTACAATATGCGTAACATTCCGATTAAATAAGCCTCATTTCTAAAAACTTGAAAATTTTGTTCCGAGATGCCAAACATTATCTTTTGTTAGAGCAGCTTTTAAAAAAGAAATTGAGTGACATCAAGGGGCGTCACATATATTAACAATTGCCCATATACCGATCACATTGCAATAGTTCGCTATACATTTCTAAAATTAAAAGATATAGACCACAACAATACATATTTAAAAAAAATATTATTATTTATGGAGAGGTTTCAAAAAATAGTGAACTACAACAACAAAAAATCTTTTTTATATTATTTTTATTAATTAATTTTTTGACTGACCATACAGCTGTTTCGAGTATTACCAAATACCCATCATCAGTGGTCTTAAAATTTATCTTGTATTTAATTATTCGTTAACAATTTTTTAAGACTGCAATTACTAGGGATTGAACTCATGCCCTGCCAAATTTGAAGCTCAGAGTGAGCGTTCATTAGTCAACTGACCCAAAGCCATACTTGACTTGTATTTCGCAGTTTTCTCTGGAGTTTTGTTAATTTGCTGTGCAAGTTTATTAATAAATTAACTTGCTGTGTTATATTAGAATGAAATCATAAACTAGCTGTAGAATAATTGATTTATAATTAATAAAAAAATTTATAATAATAGAACTTCTAAAAATAAAAACTCTTGGATAATACATACATAATTTTTAAGTTGATAACTTGTAAATTTCTATTTATTGTTTGTTTTTATTTTGAATAAACTTACTGAAAAGTAGAGTAATTATGTACATAATTATATTTCCAGCAGAGTGTATCTAGAGCAAAGTAAAATCCGTACTGCCACATTTTTGAATAATTGTCGGAAAAACTGGTTCGTTTCAGCGCCTTTCCCCTAACTATCATCCATACTCATGTATCATTTTGCATAAGTTTTACAATTTACAAATTGCTTTTAAATGGGCTGTAAAAAAGTTTTAATGAGTTTTCGACGCGTTTTTCAACTTCGCTTTATTATGCTTTTTTATTATTATTTTTCTTTTTTAATTTTTTTCCTTTCTACAAGAAATAAGAAGAAACTTCGCCCTTTAAAATAAAATGAATCGGAAATGAGACTTTGCGTCCATAACAATTTAAATGTGTCCAGTGCCAAAGTAACGCAAATAAACAAACCGATACACCCACTTCCAAGGACATTTGCATCTATGAAATTGTCGAGGTGGAAAGTCACAAAAAATTAAAATGAAAACAGAAATATGAATTTATTGAATAACAACAGATATAAAAGTTACAAGAAAATCAACTGAAAATAATACAGGAACAGTACGAATGAATGGCAATTTCAATATTAACAAGTCTTGAACCAAGGAAGAGGTGTTTTATGAATCATCTAAGACTTTAAACAAGCGGTACACAGAATTTATTTTATATAATAAAAACATTATAACAAAACTTGCCAAGCACGATTATTGCTAGAATTCAAACAGCGAATTATATTGTTCTGGTATTTCTTTTACTCTGACGCTGAGTCCTCATATTAGTTAATCAATGTTGCTTGCGTGGTTCATCACTTTTGTTTTATTTTCTTTTACTCCTTTTAAATTTTTAAGATATTTGTATAAAAACAGTATTAAATATTAGAATTAAATCTTCTATTACCGACTTTATAATATGCTATATTATCTTGATGACAGTTTACTACTTTTTCCAACATTAGTGATCCATCAAAAGCACCAAGAGCGTTATAAAGTATTGCTTTCCTTTCCTTAAAGTAGTTATTGATAAAATACTGCGTACACACCAAAATTCATAGAGCAAAACCTTAACTAACATCCAATATCTGCAATTTGATCGCTATAAACACCTTTTACCAGTTCTTTTCTCTCAGTTGACTTGGTTGAAATTTAACTCTGCAGTGTAATAATTAATGTTCTATTTGTTATCATTTCTCGCAAAAAAACTATATTTTAATCTATTAAAAAACTTCCAAACAAAGATTGTAATGATCAATATATTGTTATTTTTAATTCAATGTGAGCATGAGATTAAAACAAATTATTGGTTCTTTTCTCTTATCTGACTGCAGATTTGACTCCCCACTGTAATAATTCGTGTTATCGCCAATTTGCAGTCTATTGAATATTATTATTAATATATTTTTATTTTTAATCTAATTTATCTACAATCCTGATTTTAGTCTATTGAAAGAGCTCTAAACAGAAATTGAAATTATCAACATATTGTCATTTTTAATCCCATGTGATCAAAGATGAAGTACCGCATTCTGAACACTCCTTTTCATTCATCAAATTCTTGCCCATAATATTATTTATACTTTTTCTGATATTTTAAAGGTTTTACCTATCTCACTGAAAATCAATCAACGGACATTCAAAATGATTGTGATTACTTATTCAAAGTTTTGTGGAATAACAACTAAATTCGAGTGATAAGAACTTTCCGCGTTATAGCGCTATATGTAGCGCCACTTAACAAACCACAACAAGTCATCCTCCAATTTTTCTACTCGAAATGGATTTCTTATCATAAACATCAAAACTCCTATTGAATTTTTTAAAATAAACAAAACATAAAAAAAATTACAAGTTTTTATTTAGTTGTTGGATTGATTTATGAAAGTTTTTTATTCTATTTTACGAACCTCACTTTTTAACACTGACTATTTCTTTTAATTTATGACCATTGATCACATTTTTTCTATGAATAAAAACAATTTAAAACCATTACTATCAAAATTATTAAAAGATTTTTATTTTCTTAGAAACATTATTTATCTTATGTGTTAGTGTCTTTCTTTAGCTAAAAGAAGTTTAAAAATCTTCGGATTCCTTTTTCTCACCGATCTGACTAAGCTGTCATCCTGTAATGTTATGGACCTGGCCAAGTTTATAGAACTGTCAGGTTGATTTTCCTTTACCTAATGAGGGAGTCGTTACCTTTTTCGGCGATGGCTGTATACTGATTTAAATCTATGTACGTACCAATGCTATTCCTGTGGTATCACAATGGGCCACATTTGAGCTCAAGTGAACTTTTTAAAAAAAAAAGGGTAGCAGCCAACCTACCTACCTAAAAATATTATATTAATATTAAACAATTACAAAAAAAAAAAAAAACTATGTGTTGAACTCTACATACCAGTCCAAGAAATGTAGCGCTCAGAATTTAAGTGATCATAATGAAAATGTCACAAAATCGCAACCACTCAACTCAATCCAGAAAAAAAAGCTA